CTAAAAAGCAATTCATTAAGAGGAAAAAGGTTGTTTATGTGTTAACAGAATTGAAAAATTTCCTCTAAAAAAAATTCTGGATACGCCCATAAAGCTAGAAAATAACACAACTCGCTTTTTTATTTAAACGATTTCTTCCCATCGAAACGAAAGATCGCGGAAAGAATGCGAACGCGAGGAAAGGATGAAAAATTAAAGATAATAACAGGCAGCATTATTTAATTATCGTACCAATAATTTGTATTGCCTCATAAAGATATTTCATTAATTAAATAATGCCGCGTATCAAATTTGCGTATAATGAATGTTTACGTATCTAAAATGACAAGATGGAATTTACACTACGCATTTAATTTTAATAATATCATTATTATTCTCATTATCATCATCATCATCATCATCATCATCGTCGTCGCATATCGGCCGTGTAAATGACAGATTGCAAGAAAAATTGAGACGCACACAATTTTTGGTTGCACTCTTTCGGCGTGGCGGCCGATACTTTGGAGATACGAATACGTAAAAAAATCCTGTGGCCCCCCGAGCATCCTACTTGGCTACAGGATTGACCCGTCGAGCGCGGGGATCGGGGACGGGAATGGTGGCCGGAGGGGGAGGGGGGGGGAGGGGGGGGGATGCGCGAATTACGCGGGAGCGATTTTCTCTCGCTCTCGGGAATACCTGCCAATCAGTGTCGCGAATATTCTCACATGGCGTGTTATCCTCTGTCCGCCTCGCCGTGGCAACTCTTCCAATCGCGGGGTATTCGGAGGGGTGGGGGGGAGGGGGAGGATGGGGGCTAGATGGTACTCGTGGCCCGCCGATCGTTGCACGAGCGCGACGTCACATTGGTAATTCCGTGTCAACAATAATCCCGCGTACGATCACGGAAAGACACGCGGGACGCGCGGCTCTCGGTGTGACAGGTCACACCGGAAAACGGACGCGCGCGCGGGCGAGTGCAGCATCCGCGATTTGTCGCGACATACGAGTGCATTTCCGAGGGGGAAAGAGAGAACGAGAGGGCCCGGGGGCCCTCGAATGCTAAATAATTGGCGGAGCAACCATCGAGCGACCATCGTTTAATTCCGGATTTTCGTTGAATTAGATTAAAACGGTGACGCGACTCCACGGTCATCACTCATCCGCCGCGTCTTATTATGGCGAATTAATTTGTTGGTATATCTTATCGCTCAATCCGGATTCCCGAATTGTCATAGGGCGAGGAAGAGCTGTGCTGAATAGATATTTTTTATGAATATGATATGATTATTTTTCAAATTTCACGTGGAATGCCGCAAAAGTTCTCCTCACGCGGGAGACGCAGCGAATAAATTTTTATTATTTCGTCACTTTGGCTTGGATGATTATTTTCGGCGGGCTTATCTTCTTTGAAGATTGATCCCCGACGGTGGCGGGATGCAACTGCGATTATTGGATACGCCCCCCGATTTTCGCGTCCCGCGATAATTGTCGGGGCGAGTAAATTTACGCAGTTTCGCGCGCGCAGGAAGGAGCGGAGCTATCAAAGCGATCTTATTTCGAAGCGAGCGATGCCGACGTTTGCGGGAGGCTAAGAACGAACGTCAGAACTTTTTAATTGGGCGTCCTTAATTAGCCGAGTCCCGAGTAATTATACTGTTTCTCGCTTCGTTTCCGTCCGCGGCAACTCCTCTCCTTCTTCCCCTGCCTTCCCCTCCCAACCCCTATTTCGCCCGCGCGCTGCGCCGCTCGCGTTTTCATTTGGGTTCCTCCCGCGGCTCGTGATTAACTATATTTGCTCAATTTCATAGTGGATAAACGGGAGTACATTCTCTGAATAGCCGTCGTGGAAGCCATCCCGTCACGTTTGCGCGTTTATTGTCTTGCGAGCATTTCATTGTTGCTCGAATTAACGCTTCTGTGAGACGTCGATTTTACTTGAAAATGTAAGATGTAGAGATTTGCACCAAAATGCTCACGAGAGGATTGAATGTTTTTTTTAGAGGGAGAGAGTTAATTAATATTATTAATTCGATTATGGATTTATTTGAAGGGCAAAAGATACAGTTTTGACACTATGTGCTGCATTTAAAAATAACGGCACTTAGTTGGCGACAGAAGCAATGATTCTTAAATTTATACACAAAAAGAAAAGGAAAGAACAATTTTGCCGGATTTCGAAAAATAATTTGATTGAGTCATCAAAATAATTATGTAGAACGTTCAAATTATTAGTTATTAGAATATAAAAGAATGGCAGTATTAGCATCATATTCACGAAAAAAATTAGGATTGCGACAACAGAATAATAATGTTAATTTTCGCTATATGGTTGTTACAACCGTAATAATTATTTCTACCTTCAGTTCCTGTAACTAAAATAATCTGAAAATGTAATTTGTTTTATTTTGTTAATGTTTCCTTTGAAAATAAGGAAATTCTCTTTCTTAAATCATATGCTTTGAAGATAAAGATGTTTTGCGAGCTTATAATTTTGACAGTTCAAACAAAATTATTTTTCAGATCTATATCTGGCCAGATTTTTAGATCCTAAGCAAAATTGCTTTTTCCAAAAAATGAAAAGATTATTGATCGGAGAATTTGTCTTATCGAGTGATGCCGATTTCATTCATTCGATTGTTTTAGTTTGAGAATTTAAATTGAAATGTCCATTGCGAAATGTCGTAATCAGGTCATCGAGATCAATTCCAAGATTCTCGCGGATATCCGCGCGTCATGACCAGATGCATTCCCCTTTTATATTTTTTTTTGAAGAATAAGTGAAAGAAGTGTCACATAATCATATTCGCAATTCTCTCTTTGGACAGTCGATATAACTCGCAGTTTAAGTTTTAGGAAAGCAAAAAAAAAAATTCACTCGAACGAGACAGTGCGTGTTCGCTTTTATCTCGAATCGTTTCGGTGTCTGCTCCAGTTTACGGCCGAGTTTTCATCGAAATTTCATTTGGCGACTCTAACGACTCGGAATGGCACACGATCGGCCATTATCGCGCCGCGTGCTAGTCGCGCGTTTTGTACGCGTTCCGCACATATCGCGCGCATAACACCGATAGAACGCGGGGGGGAGAGGGGAGGGGGGGCGGCCGCGCGCATTTATATTTCACGGCGAGCCGCAGACACGTTGGCATTGCCGAATCGCGTCAATAGGCCCCGGCCCCTTTGACGTTTTAGCGACAGTACGCGTCATATCGCAATTGCGCCGCGATAGGATCTAACACGCGGCGGCGGCGATGGCGGTGGCGCATCGCATCGCATATGCACCATCTGATACAGGCGCATCGTCGCCTGGTCTCGCTCACCTGCACGCTTTTATATTTCATTTGATTCTTATCGGCCGGCCCTGGCCCCGCGTATTGGCGCGAAACACGCGCTCCCGATTCGGAAACAAACGTTTCTCCCATTCCAATCGCGCGATGTAAATTCCTCGGTTGTGTGACAGTTACGAATTATGATTATGGAATTTTTACTTCCTGGAAAAAAACCTGAAATAACTCCTCGATGGATTTTTTTTTACTCTTGAAAATCAAGGAAAATCCATGGAATTTTATCGCGAAAAATCGGAAATTTTTTAAAATTTTATCTTTAAATTTTGTCTTTCGGAAAAAATGTTGACGTTTTTCTTTTTATAATGCGAGCTGTAGTAATTTGGTTGTCGTTCAAATTAGCAATCGGTATAACGTATACGTCCGCGGACATTATGTACATTTATACGCAACTTGCAAGTTTTTATAAAAAAATTCTCTATAAAAAATTCTATAGATCAAACTAAAGCAAATATTAAGATTTTATTTGCTACATGGAAGATGGAAATAATGAGTTAATAACATTTATTCAGAAGGTAGATTTTAAACATATAAATGTATATATTTAATTTCATGATTTATTAAGACCTTTGAAAGTTATAATTTTTTTACGGATATTCATGAAAAATTTAAAAAGCGATTATTAAGAAAAAAAATTTTTTTAAATATTTTAAATCACAAACGTGCAATAAAAAGAACCTGTTACAAGGGTCGTCTGAAAAGTTTTAAGCGTCAACGTGAAGATGGCATTACTCACTAAAACTATTCTGATATTACAATCGTACATACTTTGAAAGATACTTGTGAAAATTGTAATCATTTTGGACGCTCAGTAATTGTTTGACAATCATTCGTGCCAGTCGAAGTCAGTATTTTTAGAAAAATTGATAAAATTGAATATCGTGCCGTGGCCAAGCGCTCAATTTAAACGTGGGTTATATCAACTGATGATGAGCGTAAGGGACGACCAATAAACTGTGACCACTGTCGATAACATCAAAAAAGTTCACCAAATGGTACTGGACATTCCTCGAATCGAAAGTTAAAGAGATAGCAGAGGCAGCAGAGATAGCTGTGGGCATATCGACAGAACGTCGTTTGACATATATGAAGAATTAAACATGCGTAAGTAAGAACTAACCCGCGCGTTGGGTGCCGCGCTTGCTCACTATGGACCAAAAAAACGCATACGAATGAACATTTTCAAGGCCCTGTTGGAGCGGCCCTGTTTAAACGAGTCGGATCTTTTGCATCGATTAATAACTGTTGATGAAACTTCGATCCTCTACTTCACGCCTAAAACGAAGGAACAATCAAAACAGCGGACTGCGCAGGGTGAACCTGCTCCCGAAGAAGGCGAAGACGGTTTCATCATCGGCCGGGAAGGTGATGGCGACTGGTTTTTTGTGGGAGCATCGCTGGGAAAAGTGTATTGACTTAAATGGAGATTATGTTGAAAAACAAAACTTGAATTTGATCGAAAAAAAAAAAAAATGATTTGTTTCATATGTTAGGCTCAAAAGCTTTTCAGACGATGTACACGAAGTTACATGCAATCTTTTTACGCAGTTCTGTAGATTCTGTAGGTTTTCTTTCCTTTCTGACCGATTGCTCTTCTTGATATTCTCCAAGAGGAATGTCATTTAATTTTTTTCACTACGACTTCTACAAGTTTCATCGTTATTATTTATTCAGAGGGTGGCAGACAAATAGGACCTCACGCCTGCACGGTATGTCAAAGTGTCGTCGAGGGAAGCGCGCACAGTCGCGCGTTACCACGTAGCCAGGCATGGCAATATGGTCTGCGAGAAGATCAGGTATCAGCTGGTGCTCGCGTCTGCAACACCTGCCGATGCAAGGCCGTCCGAGGACGTTACACTGCCTGCCCACTGCCCGGCTGTCCGAATTTGAGCGGTTCGAAGTCTAGGGTGAAGCGATTGAGGGCATTGCCCTCCAAGTGGCTTGACTTGCCGCCGGAGATCCGGGAGCCAATCGCTCAAGAATTTCGTGAGTGAACTCTTTGGGAACTCTTGTGGAATTTACTCACGCACGCACGTGAATGTGTGCGCTTTCCGCGAAGTTTGAGGAAATAAATAAAATATAGGTTTAATTAAATATAAGATATGTAAAATGAAAGATAATGTATATAAAGTTTATATTCCATTAAATATAATCGTATATTATATATTATTTTTTATTTTTTTGTTTTTTTAGTTATATTTCTTTACTTATTAGGTACGACGAGTACCGTACTAATTTAGTTACCGTTAACTTAATTAGTTAGTTAAAGTAACTTAACTTTAGTTAATTACTTATTATTACTATTATATATATACTACTACTATATATATATATATATATATATATAAAACGAAGTTCAATTAAATACTGTATATATATATATATATATATTATATATATATATTATATTTCAATAGTAGTATTTATTTTTTAGTAGTATCTTTCAATTTATTTATTAGGTATTAGTCGTTTGTATCGTCAATATGCGTTTTCACGAAATTTCTCAGCGTTAGCGATGATAAAGATAAATTGCTAAATTATTTATTTGATCTGTGATACGGATTGAATTAAGTTAGATCTTTCGGAATTCCCCCGCAGGGGGGGAGGGATGGAACATACTGTCTCCAGCATACACCTCAACGCGAAGCAAAGTTCCACATGGGTTTACAACTTTCTGCACGAAGTTCAATTGAAATCTATATGTTTAATATAAATTGAAACAAGTTGGTTGGATTTTTTGGGAGAGGCAAAACCCCTCCATCCCTCCTACGTATGTATTTTGTCTACATATAAATTAGGAAATTAATTAATTTTTTGACACTGATAAAAATTAATGTCAAATTTTTTCTGTATATAATGTTTTAATAAACAATAACTAGTTAAAAACCTTTTGATTGTTACTCAGCAGAGTGGCTTGTTCGAAATCAAGATTATCGGAGTTATGTCTCATAATGTAAAAATTTATTAACATTTATATAGTATATCTCAAAAGTATATCTCAAAAACTACGAGACCGCCAATTAAGTTATAAGGAAAAATTGATCAGTACCTTCATCTCTATAACATATATCAAAGTCAAGATCATCGGAGTTGTGTCCCCCAATGTAAAGATTTATCATATATTTTTTTGATGATACATGTTTTTATACATGCAAGTTTTATATTTTGTCTAAGTTATGAAAATATCAAATGCTTATTTTAATGAGCTAAATCACCTGTTCTATTTCAGAGATACCAAACAGCGCGACGAAATGCTGCTCGGCCTGCTTTAGTCGCATATCGCGTCGTTTGGCTCCACATCTCGCCAGTGGTACCGAGGTATCCGAAGATGGTGCCGACGCGTTGTCACGCCAGTGGACGGATGAGGAACTTGAACAACTTCGTAGAGCGCTTCGGGAACACGGTACCAATTGGTCGAAGATCGCCGAGCAGATACCCAGCAAGACGAATCATCAATGCAAAAATTATTATTTTGCTTATCGGGAAAAGCTGAGTCTCGATCAAGTGGTGGCTGAATACTATGCTTCATTGGGAGAAGAACGAAGACCATGTCTTACTGATGAAGAGGAGAGTGGTAGCAGTACCAGTAGCTGCGATGAACTATTAGCTGTAAGTTTTTTAAGAATTATTAGACGTTATTTAGTTTAAATATATATCAATTTAGAGTTAGAATTTCAAGTAAGACGTAGCCCTTGTTATGCATGGTTCCAAATATATGGATTTTAATTACATATACATAATTTAATTAACATTAATTTTCCAATAACTCAATGACTCAAACTTTCAACTGCTACAGTATATTAATTATGAATAATTACATAAAGTATATTAAAGGAATTCTCGAAAATATATGAGCATTGAAAATAAAAAGGATAAATTATTGAAAGTTGATTTAAACTTGGAAAGTAGTATGATATTTCATCAAGACAAAAGATCTCTATAGATATACAAATAATAGAAAAAGCGAACATTTTTTAAACTTTTGATAAGTTTTTTATAAAGGAATGAAATATTTAAATTTTAATATTTTAATATTTAAATTATATTTTTTAATAAATGTTTGAGTTACTCTTTTTTCATTTTTAAAAATTTGTAATCGATAATTTTTAATAATTTGACAAAAATTTTTAAAAGTCACTAAATAACTAATTTTTTCTATTAATTTATTTTGCATGATTTTAGCTTGCATAGTTACAATTTTGTTTTCTTTTGAATTGAAAATAATATTTAACTAATTTTAATTTTAAAATTAATTTTTGATATAATTATTCATTTGAATTAATTTTTTAATAAACTGTTATAAATTAAACATTTTATGTATATTTATTCTTATCCTACTTTTTTCTTTCTTCTAGGTTCATGATTCGAGTGACACGGCTAGCGCAAGCAGTCCGGCCACGAATATGACGGGTAATAACGTAGCGTCAGGCACTGCGACATCATCGTCATTACCGATGTCTTTCCAACGATCTACTGAACAGAAACTTGGTGAGAAACTCTCGGATATAGCCGTTGTGGTATCCCTCGTACCACCTGGATCATCACATCAGTCTTCCAACAGTGGAACTACTACCACTGCATCCGGTGGTACTAGAGAGGAATATGATGACAGCTCTGCCACGGTAAGACAAAGTTCTTCAAAGTTTCTAGAACTTCCTTTTTTAGGTTTCAGTTGCTTTAATTCTGCACAAAATGATGTATGGTTTTATTATTTGTACTAAGTTTTGAAAATAATTAACATGGAATTGAGAAATAAAATGTAAAACAATGTTCTCGCGCGAAAGGGCCGTCTGATAGAGGTGCGCTAATTGTTTCAGGAGACAGCGGACGAAGGTCAGGGAGGTGTTGACATAGACAATGGCAGTATTGTGGTGACTCTGTCAACCCCCAACAATAACACAATGTCGTTGCAGCAACAGAGTCAACAGCAGAACCAACTTCCGCAGCCACCACCAATTGTTCATTCTCCACCTTCGACAACAAGTAATTCCAACCCGCTAACTGTCAAAGATCTCATGAGTGGTGTCATCGAGATGCAACTGAAACGTACTACACTAAACAGTCCAGCTGACAGTGGTTCATCAACATCTGACAATTCAGGCTTGATGACAATAACTAGTATCTTGAAGACAGATCATCGCAACGACATAACATATGTTCGTAACTACAAACCATCGTCGAATATGGCGAATATCTCGCTGTCTAATCCAAATTTAGCAACGCTCTCTGTTGTCTCGGGCCCTCATCATGCTCATCGCTCTGCTCCCAGTCCACAACAAATTGGTAGGTTTATTAACAATGTTATTATATTTCCTATGTAAAATATATTTAAAGTAATGGCTTTTTATCCTTTTATTATTTATTTATTAAAATTTATTTTTTTACGATATAAATATTTTACATCATTTGCAGTTTATTTATAGAAAGGACTCATGGTTTATTTTCTTCTCTTTCAGGCCAAATGCAGGCTACTATTACACCTTGTCCGCCGACTGTACCCAGCAGTCAGGCATCGTCGTCGGACTTGCCTAAAGAAGGTTTGGTCGTCATGCAGGTGCAACAGGCGCTTCGAGAAACAGAAGGAACGTTGGATTTGAGTATCAAAAAACCGAGAATACAACAAGATTATAATCATTCGCTACAGATTCACAAACCGCCGACGGTCACGCTCTATCGACCAGAACCGCCACCGGGCGCGTATTATCATCCTCACGCGCCTCATCCCGATCAAGGACGCGGTGCAAAGAGTCCGTTGATTTACAGTTCGTCACAACGACCGCAAGCACCTATTACACCTAAAATGAACAAAGTTAACGTACCACCACCTCATCCCAAGTTGTCTCCAAAATTGAGCAACATGGGCACACCGAGTCATAAAAGTGGTTCCATCACGCATGGTACGCCTGTGTCTACAGCGCGTTATGAGGGTCTGTTACAACAAATGACGCCGCCCGGTAACCCGGTTACTGGTGCCGTCCCGAACGCTAGCGAACGAGGCGGTGGTAGCTCCGTCAATGCCGGCTCCACTGTTCCAGGAGCGCCGAAGGATACAGGTGGTTCGATCACTCAAGGTACGCCGGTACTTCCGTTCGCAGTGGATAAACGCGGCACGCCCATGTATGATTATCATCGTAATATTCGACACTCGCCTGTTACGGGTGGAAGTAACGTTCCACCACCACCTCCAGGGCAGGGTCCCACAAGTCAAGCATCCCCGGTGGTGGTGAGTCACGGTGGTAGTCAGTATAATTCCTATTCCACTGCCGGGCGACCGCCACCTAGTTACTCGATGGAACAACAATTATCCAGTCGGCAAATTATTATGAACGATTACATCACCAGTCAACAAATGCATGCACGCGCTCGTGGTAGCAATAGCAGTGGTGCATCCGCTGCTGGTGAGACAGCCGGTAAGAACGAACCGCCACCGCCACCGTCGTCTACCCTTTACTATGCCAGTACACCTCCTCCATCGCAGACACATACGCAACCGCGGCAAGGTGTCATCCAGAGGCATAATCCGCAAAAGCAGATGCATTACCCACCACCGCCACCTGGTCTGGAGGCATTCTCTAGTTTAGTGGATGTAGCAGTACAACAACCCAGTCTTCCGGTGCCACATCCACACAGTCATCCAACTGCATCCAGTAGCGGTGGTCACGAGGGTCTCGGCAAGACGATGGCGGATCGCTTGTTGGCCGATCGTTATGACAATAACCGAGCGTTCCGCGAACAAGAAATACGCATGCAGGAACATCGTATGGCTGCAATGCAGGCGGAACATAGATTGGCAGTGGCCGCTGCGGCGGCACAACATCAACGTGACCGAGATAGAGAGCGTGATCTTATTCATCTTCGGGAAAAAGAAGAACATCGTTTGCATCGCGAAAAGGAATTGCAACAGTTGGAGCACCGCCTTGCGGTACAGCAGCAGCATCATCAACAACGTGAAAAAGATCTCCAGCAGCAAGAACATCGGCTCGCGCAGCAACGGGAGGATATGCATGTCGAGCATTCTGGTCTGTCCGTGCAACAAGTTCGAGAAAAGGATATCCAACATGAGCATCGGTTTAATGTACATCAACGAGATCGAGAGAAGGAGATACATCAGCAAATATTGGTTGCCGCTACTCAACGCGAGAAGGAGCACGAACATCGACTGGCTGTGCAACGCGAGAAGATCAACATTCGGCAAAGAGAGCTCGCCGAATTGCGCTTGCAAGCGCAATTGAAACAACAGCACCAGCAGCAGCAACAACAACAGCATATCCAACAGCATATTATTCAGCAGCAACGTATGGAATCCGAGAGAAGACACATTGCGCAACTGTACAGAGATAAGCAACAACAACAGATTGATAGAGATTCGTCGATATTGTTAACCAGCGGATTTTCGCAGTCCTCCAGGCTTCAGCAGTCTCAGCAATCTCAACAGCAGCAACAACAGTCGTCAACGTCGTCGTCGTCTTCGTCACGACAGAATCAATCCTCCAGTCAACAGAATGACTCGTCAACTCTAACAGCCGCCAGTTTGATTGACGCTATCATTACGCATCAGATTAATCAGAGTGTTGAGAATGCCAGTGGAAGCGGATCCTCGGCCAATCAGCCAGTACGTGCTGGCGATCGCCTATTTCAGGTAGGTAAACGTTTCTATTTATTTCTCTATTATAATTTTGTTTTTGTTTTTATTTTATCCATCTTCCATTACAGGGATTTCATCGCGAAACTTCGCAAGAACCTAATGGCATAGCCCACAGTCCCGCCGGTGAAGGCAGCGGTGGTGGAAACAGCGGAAATAGCGGAAGTGGCAATGGAAGTGGTAGCAAAGCGATCACTCTCGGCGAACATGTCGATCATATTGTCTCTAAAGATTATGGCCCGCCTCATTCATCGTATAGATCTTACACCGGGTAAGTCTCCACATAAAGCGTTTTATTATTTTTTAAGCACTTAAACATTGCGAAAAATTCAGTTATACATATACAGATGCAAACCTTAATTATGAATTCAATAAGTTTACAGTTTTACTGTAATTTATTTATCTTATCTTATTTTATTGACTTCCATTTCGTCGAATTTTACAGAGTTTATAATTCAAATTTTTAAGATTTTTAAGATTTATTAAAGTCATCAAAAAAATAGAGTGCACAATTTGTTTCTTTTCTTAATTGCGATTGAATATATGTCATACCTAACTGGAACTTTCCTTTTCTTATTTTTTAAATACAATAGATATCAAATATCTGACGATCAATGGAAGAGACGAAAAATTAACGAATCTGATTCGGTGAAGACCGGGGATGAGCGTCAGATAATACGCGTCGCGCAACAGCAGCAGACGCAGCAGCAACAGCAGCATCAGTCATCGGGAAAGCAGCAATATCATTCGGTAGAGCCGGTTTCACCGCCGGAGGCAACTACCAATCATTACGGACGTCGCTTCTACGAATCGAGCACTGCCACATCCACTTCCGGAACTCCCTCCAACAAGCCGCATCAGATATCGCCATTCGATTATGTGAAGAACAAGATCGTTGAAGTGATGCGCACCGAGGATGACAAAGCTGGCGGCGGTAGCGGCAGCGGCGGCGG